CATTGGTCCCGACTATTACTCGCTCCTTTTTTTCCTTCTTTTTTTTCTTGAATGGGATTCGTCGTAGCTTCTTCGTTTCCGACTTCTCGCGATTATAATCGATTTCTTACACTTTTTTTTTGGGTTAACAATTCTTTCCCTGTCATGTCGACCACCACAAAATGTATACTTAAGTGTGGCCTTACAGGTATGACGTCATCATTTGTGGTATATGAAGTATTTTTCCAATTTTTTTGCACTTACATAGGTGTCTTCGTGTTAAAGCACTTGACAACAAAAACAAGTTGAATTGATAATGTGAGTAATACACTTCATTTATGGAGGGTAGCACTAAATAGCTGGAGGCTATTTAGCTCCATTAAAATTACTCATTGCTAAACAAACGCACACAAATCATGTTCCCTTGGCCTCTAAATTCAGTTGCTATGGGAGGTAATTTTCATTAGTTATACCTTTTTGTGAGCGTGGACACTATTCTAGGAGGATTTAAGGGCAGCTTTGACGACCAATGAGTAAACGTTTCTATCTGCATTCTGCTAAACTATGTTCTGTGCCTCCAACCTTTAATCGCAACTTGGTGCAAGCTACCCTGGGTGCCAGAGGGTTTTTTGTGGCTTGAACACTCACCGTTAGCGGTTTCGCTGCTAAAAAAAAAACAAACAAACAAACAAACAAACCAAAATAAAAAACCCTCCGACACCCAGGGTACGCACAAGCCTGAACAAAACCTGAATGGACAATTCAGTCTACAATCCCACTTCAATTGTCTGCGATTGGCCAATAAAATCTGTGCTACATACCACCAGCTAACTGCCTGAATTTGATGCCTTTGGCACATAATTTATGGGAAGCTCTGGCACCCACCACCAACATACTACATACTTGTATCTGACTCGCCTACTTGGCACTTCCAAGGGGAGAAACAGCCAGTGCAATGTCAGTTTGGAGATTTTTAACACAATACATACAGGTAGATTTTTACTCTAAGAGTTTCTTGGGGTAGAAACCTAGCTTTGTTTTGAAAGTCTACTTTAGTAGACGTGTCCATGTATTCTTACTCCTGAAGAATACTTCTTCAAAATTTATCTAGAATTTACAGTATAACATGATTCATTCTGTTATACGTGTACCTTTTAATTAGCTCTTAATAATAACAACAATATTTATAGAGGATATCACCAGTAACACTAAGTTAATTAGGGTGGTCCTCTATCTGCACCCACCCATCCCATTCCAGGGGAGGGCATCCATCACACAGTATACTCGTGCATGGGAAATTAACGTCTCCTACCCCTGACCCTGCAGGAGACGGGACCTCCATTTATTCGTCCCTGTCTGAGGAGACTAGAATATCTAAACCATCTCTTGATGTTATAGAAAGGTTAAGCATATTCTCCTCATTTTTTTTAAGACCAGTATTTACCTTAGTTTGTGTTTCTTTAGTGCACATATATACCGCTCGTTTTCAATCAGAAAAAAAAATGGTATGCATGTTCAGTGGCCCACATGCACATGTACGCACAATTAAAAAAGAAATTTATTTGTGAACATAATTGTTTGGTGTTTGTGCACACATTCACTCAAGTCTATGTTAGGCAAAAAGTTCCAATTAAGAGGACAAAAAGTAAGTTAAATTCCTTTGCACTGTTTCTTAAATGTATATCCCCAAATGGTATAATTTCGGACACATTGCTACAATTGTTAGGAATTAATACTGATTTGCCAGGGTTAAATTGTGACCCTATCCAAAAACAGATTCTTCTTGTGAAAAATTGGCATACTTACAAGCTACGTTGACTTGCATTGAATGGTTCAATGTATTTCCAAATCCATTGCTGGCTGTACAGCAATATGTTCCATTCATGGTCCTTTTAATGTTTCCTATTATCCAAGGGTTTCCAACAAACATTACATCACCATTACTCCCATCATTCAACACTCTTGTCCAAGTAATACTGGCAGTTGGTTTACCAGTTGTGTTACAGAACAAAGTAAGACTGGAGTTCTCAATCATAGTTTTGTCCCCACTGTAACCAATAAACTGGGTGTGCTCTAATAATGGAACAGAGAGACAGGACATGCTCAGTGACATTACTGTTCACCATATGTACAAGTATCATCATCTAGGTCTGGACTTCTGGAGATGAAAAGGAAGAAGTAAACCATCGGAATGATAAGCCCACAACAGATACAAAGTACAGTCTCACACTGTACTTTTCAATGCCTTAATGGATAAAAAGTGAGATAAATGAATGCAATCACTGAGGTCAAAACTAAAAATAATTAAGTTATAAGTTCATGTTGGTGTATTAGAGAACATTGCAAATATGGTCTGAGCAATTTGTTTGTTGAGCATCAATTTAAAGGACTTATGAAGAAAATTTGCAGAAGTAAAAGTCAGCCACCTGCTGGCAATCGTCTGTAAATTCTGTTCTTCCACAGTTTCTCATTGCTATTGTGGACCTTGCCATACCATGACTACCCTGTGGTCACAATTTCATTTTAACTATGGCTGTGATGTACATTTACATGCACAAGTAACTTGACTGATAAATTATTCAAGTTTAATAATGAGAATTGGTGATAGCTGTATTGGATACCATAAAAAAATTAATAGTCACAAAATCCTTAGACTTCCATGGGCACAACATCAACAGGTGTACAAAATCCATGGCGTTATCATTGCTCGCATGATCCTGGCAAGTTCAGCTAAATTTTGATTTGTGTTTGTGGAATTCACAAGAGAAATAATAAGCAAAAGTAATAAACATTTGGCAAATGAGGAAAAACATATTGCGTACCTATTAAGGTCATTCAAAGTTATATAACTGTAAGGTATACTACAGTGAATTCACTGTTATGTATGAGAGCCAAATAATCGGTTTTTAAAAAATATGGCAGTGTGTTGCTAAGAGTATTCAAATTACTAGGCATTATGTTCAAGAAAACAATTATGTTTATAAATTCCAAAACCAGATATAGCAAAGAAGTCTATCCAATACACGAGCACTGTAGTTGGAACAGGCTTGGCAATGAAGAGAGAATGAACAGCTTGTTGATTAATTCAGTAATTCTCATGTTTTAATTTATGAGTATTTAATGTAGCTACAATCTTCACTTTCTTGTAATAATAGTTTTAATTACATGTATGACTGCAATTACCTTTTACTTTTTACTTCTTAGACTTCACTTAGACACAACCAGAACAGCAATGCTGTTATTTCACTGTGTGTATATGTTGTAGTTCAATTTTATACTTGGTTCAAATCTTATTTTCCTTTGTTCTCTGTCATGTTAATGTATGATAATGAGTTTGAAACAAAGGAAAAAAAAATTTGAACCAAGGATAAAATTGAACTACTACATATATAAATGCTTTTATTATTAAAACTATTATTATTACAGTACCACTAGAAACCATAGGGGCGTTTTCAGAGAGTATGCACGTAGTGCACTTTTGTTGCCCATGCAGAGAACAAATGGTACATTCATTTGATAAGCAGGTCAATAAACAGGTAACTAGCTGATGTGGACCTACCAGACCTATCAAAAAATAAATTTAAAAAACAATATGTAGATTGTACCTAAAGTTAAAATGAAAAGTTAGAACCAATAATAAAACCTTATGTCCTTAACAATTTCCTTTACTGATTTTAATTTTCTATTAAAAGCTTTAGGTTTCCCTGGTTTTCTGACACTGATAAATAAATTTCATGCTACATGTATAGCAGCTCTATGGGTGAAAGGTATCTGACCATTAACCTAAGTTTGAGGTCATTCTACAAATACATGAAAATATTTCCTAGGAGTGCTATGATTTACATGATTCCGAAATACTGAACTATTAGTTACCTCTATGTCCACATTATAAATCAACGTAATGAGCACTAATGAAAATAGAAAGACTTGAGAGGCATCCACTTGGCATGTACCAGCATTTAAATTTGTAACATTAAGATTACCAAGTAAGTAATTTGTGGATTAGTCTCCATCCTTTAAGATGGATTTGACATGCAATGGTTTGTCCAGACAAACTGAAAAATTTCGAGTGTGACAAAATACAGGAAAAAAATTAAAAAGATTCACTATAACTTGAAAAATTTAGTTATTTACCCTAATTCACAAAATTTCAGGTAAATTCATCTTGGGTCCCCAAGTCAGAGGGTCACACCAATTCCCCTCACCAGTATCTTGGATGAAAATTACAGGACTCAAATATCATTACGCAAAAAGGAAAAAAAAAATGGCACATAACTCAAATCATAAACATGCTTGGAACTTAAGAGTATCAAATGGTTTTATCTTGAGTTCACTGTACTTTCAATTTTTTTTCTATATTTCTTAGTGTGCACAACAAAGATTACTAGTCACATCCCTCCATCACTTATTTACTTACTACTCTTGTTCGCCAGTAGTTCTTTCAAGCGTTCCATTTGCAATCTGTTAGAGCAGTTAAATTCTAACAGGCATGGAATCTCTATTCCAATGCACTGCTGCTTACAATGTCATTTGTGACCTATCACTTCATCACCGATTTCTCCTTAATGTGCAAGAAAATACCACACCATTTAGAGAACTTGCAAGGCAAATGGCTGATTGCTTTGTTGCCCTTCGCTACTTTTACAGTGTGTTTGTCCATGGGGTAATCAAACTTTTTTTTGAGGTGATTAACTTATTAATGTTGCTGCAAATATACAACAGATTCTGTCAAGTTTATTATGAACATCAGCGAACAAACTACCAAATTTTTTTAATGCATGAGTTAAATAGTTTTTTGCATTTTTTTTTCCAAAGTCTTGCTTGAAAGTTGGGGGTGTGGCTTGTATACAAGTACAGCTTGTACAAAAGTTCTTACGGTAATCAAGTTTCACAATAATATATGTGTCACCAACTATTAATAAGACAGGATACTCGGTGTTCCTGCTTTCTTCTGCTATAATTTGAGTTTTTAGTAAGTGCAGAAATCTCAAATAAAACACAATTCTAAGATCAACACTCACCATATATGACTACACTTATTGTATCATCCCAAATCCTTACATTAGTGATCACTGAGCATGTGAATTTTGCTCCATCAGCATCTGTTTTGTTGTAGATTATCAAGGTGGCAGGATCCCTGGCACTGATGTCAAATTGTCCTTGAAAGGCAGGAAATATTGTAACAACTTCAGACTTATATTTGTTCCCTATATTAGTATTTCCTATTCTCCAAGACACAAGAGAACGTGATTCATCAGATAAGGTGAAGTCCCATTCCAAACGCAACTCTAGAGATCTGACATCTAATTCTTTGACTGTTGTTCGAGTTGAGGTGTCTCCAATGGCAAGTGGACCACGTTGTGGAGAAGGAAGAGTCCATATGATGGTGGCATCTAAAGCACATCAAAAATGAGTTAATAACCAGTTAATAAAAAACTATATAGAAGATATTACATGGCCATGTGGGGATACAAATTTTATCTTAAGTTATCTTCAATTACACAGTTTTTCGTGTAATTGAAGATATGACTTTGTATCTTTTATCCTATGGTTTATGAAAGACTTCCATCAATCAATCAAGTGCTGTATCTCATTCATGTGTGAGCGAAGCGAACTCGTGAGAGATACTTTAAGCGCAAGAATATAAAATTTATATCCCCTAGCGGCCATGTAATGCTCTGTTTATTTAATAGATCCTGATGAAATTTCCATATAAAACAACTTTTTTTAAAATTCATTTTGAAATCAGCAAAATAGTGCAATTTAAGTGGTCACATATCACAAAATGCCTGTCACAAAAGTGATAAAGTAAATGGTGTCTGATCTTTTCGTCCCAGTCTTTTTGTCCAAAAGTATTTTCGTCCAAGTCTTTTCGTTCAAAAGTATTTTCACCTAAGTCTGTTCGTTTACTTGTGAAGTCTTTTCTCAAAGCAAATAAATAACTTTTAGAAGTTCTAAAAAATTACTTTTAATAACTTTTTAATAACTTTTTAATAACTTTTATCTATAGGAAGAACTTGTTGAGAGCCGCTGCCATTTTGGTACCGATACCTTTAGTCACCAATTTTCGTTTACGAATTCAACGTCATGAATTTTACGATAAATACACAGAGAATGAATGAAGTTGTTACACAATATACTTTATCAAATAGTGGCAAAAGTAAAGACTTGCTTGCCATTTAATTATTTCATGCAAAAGAAATGGGAATATTAGGCTTGTTGTTGTTAAGTGTCTATTGAGCGTAAAAGGGCAACGAAGTGTAACATCACTACATGAATGGCTCGCAGCAAGTTCAATCTTCCTATAGCCTTATCTAGCGTTGTAAAAGTTATTTGTTTGCTTCGAGAAAAAACTTAACAAGTAAACGAACAGACTTAGGTGAAAATGCTTTTAGACGAAAAGACTTGGACGAAAAGACTTTTGGACGAAAAGACTTGGACGAAAAGACTTCTGGATGCAAAGACCATAATTCAAGTAAATACGGAATAAAGTCCAAGTGTTAAGTGAGTGTTTTGGTAAAATTGCGTCCAACACATCGTTCAATCCAGAAAGAACTGATCATCAAAATCCTAGAAATTCCAATCAGTCTAGTAAGCAGCTGTGCTGATGACACAATATTCCATGTTGTCTTAATTAATTTGACGCTTCGATATCAGCCAAATGATAGTTGATCGATCAAATTCAGCAATCAAAGTATTGCTGAAAAAATTTTATCCTCGGCGCCACAATCAAACATACGCTTGCACTTCGGTGGAATCTTTAAAATACCAACCTCATATTTCTATATTTTCTTACGTTCACAAATTCATCGCACTTGACGCGGACTTAAACAGTTGCAGTGATAGTGAACCGCACCCAAGTCACTCTTCCTTGCATGTTGCTATTAAGTTTTGCGAGCATTATGCAACCACACAAACTGTGCGGCAGTTCACAGAAAGAAGTTTGAGCTGCGAACGGAAGCTGTTGAAAATAGGATGACTCGCCAATTCACAGAACCTTCCCTTCTCAAACAGCACCAAGGTTAGTTTAATTAAGAAAAGGTACTTGCCAAATTTTTGGACAAGATGCAGAACCAAGACGGGCAGGGAATACCGTAGAACTGAGAACGACTCCATTACTTCTATTCATTCAATGGAAAAATTCTGATTATCCACCAGCAGCCCAAGCGTACTGATTGTGCTTTTGGAGTTTCAAGTTCATTAACTAGCCTAAAGGGCAAGCGTAATTTGGCCATGTGCTCAAAATGTAGCCGCCATCTTTGATTTTAATGGCAGCGAAAGGCTGGGAGAGAGAAAGAAATTTGCACCAAGGGGGTGAGTGACAGTCAAAAACAGGGAGAGGGGCTTACCTTTCTCTCTTTCTCCCTTGCATTTCTTTGTGAGGCGTGTGCACGTGGTGCTACCTGTAAAATGAAAAAAGAAAGACAAAAGCTGGTCACTTCAACCGGTCCCGAACACCAACCGTCGTCACTCGAAAGCCGATAAATTCCACAAAAGTCGACTGATCTCCCTCACATTTCCACCCACGAGAGCGCTTTGCTAATACCTACCCGTTTGAGCGACAAAAGTTTCCCAATTCCGCTGCATCGATCGAAGAGACGCTCCGTTTTACCACCCATTTTGGCTAAATCACTTTGTAATGACAGGTAGTCCATTTGGCCTCACTACGGAGTTCAAATATCAAAGCGCATTACCAAATAAATGACTCTCCAAGGAATCGATAGGAAGGTTGTTAAGTTTGCCCTGTTGCCAAAAAAACCGTCCGAGGAGTCGTACGTGTAATTCGACCGAATGTGCTTCGATTTTTACTGCGTAGAGCAGCGTAGCGAGCGAGCTCGAGCAGCATCATAATCAGGATATCGATTGGAAAAAGGGATGCAAATTCTGTAATACATGACTTTTTACCAGAATGCATTGCAGCTTTTAACCAGAGCGCATTAAAGCTTTTAACCAGAGTGCACTGCGCCACAATTTGGGGCATTTCCTACATGTACTTAATCGTGTACTTTTCTAAGCTAATTAATTAATCACGAGTATTGTATGGTGAAGCTACTATCTTGATCACTGAGTGAAGGACTGCATTAATTAAATGAATAAATGAATGAATTAAAGCAATGAAAAGAGTCACTTGATCAACAAACACTACCTTGCGTAAGTTGACACGCCGGTAGGCCGGAAAAGCAAAAGGGGTGTTGATAGGCCTGTGTGACTCCTTCCATTCGCTAGCGCTTTTAAATTTTGTGCTCTAAAAGTTAAGCTTTCATCAATATATCTCTCACTGACTTTCCTTGTAGATGTAATAATAATGGTTTTTAAGATGTAATTTCCCCAACCGTATGTTATTGAGGTTTGGCAAAGACGGACGAGATTGTGTTACAAAAGGCATTATTTTTCATCTGTGCGCGCATTTTTTTCTCTGTTTTTAATATTCTTTCTCTACTGCAGAAAGTAACTTCAGATATATGTTTCTCAATGTAAGTCTTGGAGCACGCAGGTAGATGAGTCACTGCGTAAATGATGTCACTATCAACAGAATGTGCCGCAGCATTACTATCGTTTAGATTCTCTAGTTCGATATCATTGCTAGCGAGCGTAGCTAGCGAGCAGTATCATAATCAGGATTGGAAAAGAATAGAGGGGACGCGAATTCTCGAACTCATCACTTTTTTTCAGAATGCATTGTAGCTTTTAACCAGAGTGCACGATCGTTGTGTTTAATGTTTTGCGTTACATAGCGTTACTACTGTTGGGACATTTCCTTTATGTACTCAGAGTTAATAGAAAGAACTATTAACTCTGGTGTACTCAATCGTGTTGTAAATCTACTTTCCTAAATAAAGGCAAATTAACCAATCTCAAGTATTGTATGGTCAGTCCACTATCTTGATTACTGAATGGAGAACAGTCGAATTAGAGAAATGAAAGGAGTCACTTGATCAATGAATCATGAACGGGTGACCCTAAAGGCCAGAACGGTGGAATGCCGGAATGCTGGAATGCCGGAATGCCGGAATGCCGGAATGCCGGAATGCCGGAATGCCGGAAAATGAACCCAAATCCTAAAACCCGGAACGCCGAAAAATGACCCCAAATCCTAAGACATGGAACGAATGACAGGGCATGTTGCACAAATTCTGTATAAAGACAGTCAAGCGCTTGGCTTATTCATTCCCACGACGATAACGCGCGTGACCAAACTTAGACTGGCGTGAGAGGAAGAGAGGTTTGCATGGGGTCATGCGCGTGGGAATTTCTCATGGCGTGAGAAGACATAAGAAAGTTATCAGAAGGAGGCCGCCAAGTATGGTTGGTCATTTGTTTGAAAATCATGACACGATATATGTGCGGTTTTTTCCCACGCATACTTGCAATTATTCCTACTACACGATATACGAGCGTTTTTTTGCCACGGATACTTGCGTTTTATTCCCAAGTATATAACCATTTTCTTACAAACATGCATATATATGCGCACAAAAAAGCCCATATGTATGCCTTACGAACAAACGTTTGTATATGGGGTTATAGCGGGCCATCATATAAAAGGTATCGAATTATACCGTTAGCAATAAACCTACTTCATGTACGATAGGAGAACCGGAAAGTAACTTCAGTTCGAATCAAGCATGGCCGCCATGGTCGTCTTAATTTCGATCAAGGTTTGGTTCTTACTCATTGTCTTCGCGGTAGTGGTAGTTGTTAGTTCCCAACAACGGATTTGTTGGAATCCGTGGACTGTCTGTAGAGAGACTGTGAACTTTACTATCCAAATGCTGACCGAAACATGGAAGAAAACTTAATTTTTCGCCTTCAGGTTACGATCGATTCAGTTCTTGGATTGCTCGATTCCTTGGCTCGAGGTGAGGCACGAAATACTGAGAGAATTCGGGTTCTTAAAAGCCTGATATTACAGCTACGGACCTTATTAGGCAGGTGGGAGTTGCTAGCAATTGTAGCTACATCGTGCACGTCTATTCACCCTATCCGAGGGTTCCCAACAGTTTCTCCTGGAAGTGGAGGAGCCGGCCGACCTCGGTATGAAATTTCTTTACCTCAGTCGGTGTATCTCCGGAATATAATGCAATTTACCTGGCCTCAAATAGCGGGAGTTTTATTGGTTTCTAGAACCACTCTTTGGCGTAGAGTTCAGAATCTTGAGTCATTCTCTAACCGTTATACCACCATCTCAGATGCGGAGTTAGATGAATTAATTAGAGAGATAAGGAGAGGCTTTCCAAACTCGGGAATTAGCATGATGCTGGGACACCTGCGTAGCAGAAATTTTTTTGTCCAACGTCAGCGTGTTAGATCAAGTTTGGTTCGAATTGATCCTGTTGGTCGGTGTTTGAGATGGTTTAAATGACCATCGGAAGGCGTGTTTATAGTGTCAGAGGACCCAATTCTCTTTGGCACATTGATGGACTGCATTGCCTCATCCGTTGGAGGTTTGTGATCCATGGGGGGATTGACGGTTTTTCAAGGCTCATAGTTTATTTCAGTTGTTCAACAAACAATGCATGCGCTTTTCGTAGCAGCAGTGGAAAGAAATGGATGGCCTTCTAAGGTACGATCAGACAAATCCAAGAACTGAATCGATCGTAACCTGAAGTCGTACAATTAAGTTTTCTGCCATGTTTCGGTCAGCATTTGGAAAGTAACGTTCACAGTCTCTCAACAGACAGTCCA